GGAAGACAACCAGCAGTGTTAGTCACAGGCAAGTTACTTAATATCTCCAAGTCTTGTTTCCGTTGTCGCTAGAACGGGAACAGCTTTATCAAGGTGTTGAGTGTGGTAATGCACGTGAAGCACTTACCTTTATATCTGGCACAGAGTAAACATTATTAGGTAGGAGCTTTTATCTTTTATAAAATCACTAATGAAAGCACTGTTTTCGCTAAGGGATCATGTGATAAATTTCTCTTAGATTTTATTTTTCCTTTTTCTCCCAAAGCCCTCCAGTACATAGTTGTGGGTCCTTCTAGATGTGGCATGTGGGACACCGCCTCAGCATGGCATGATGAGTGGTGCCATGTCCGCGCCCAGGATTCGAACCGGCAAAACCCTGAGCTACCAAAGTGGAGCACGCAAACTTAACCACTAGGCCACGGGGCCAGCCCCCCTCTCTTAGATTTTAATAACAGGAAAAAGTTTTCTCCTTGTCCCCTTGAGGGACAGAAAGAACTATATCATTGCCAGGAAGCTCAGAGCTGGACTTTACTTTCAAGAGTAATCTGCCTTTTCCTCAGCTCATTCTTAATTTTGAACTGTTTTGTTTTCTTTAAAATGTCTCAAGTATATTTTTAGAAATGGATAAATTATCAATAAATAAAAACAAGATGGTAAATTTTACATTGTATATTGCCACAAATTTTTTTTAAAAGCCAAATGAATTAATTTGTATATATGTATCTCAGACTCAAAAACCTATTGGATTTAAGTCTAAAGTGGCATTAAGTACATTCACACTGTTGTACAACCATCACCACCATCCATCTCCAGAAATCTTTCCAGTGAAACTGAAACTGTGTACCCGTTAACAATAACTCCCTATTCCTTCCTCCTCCCAAATCCTTGCAACCACCATTCTGTCTCTAGGAATTTGAGTATTCTAGGTACCTCACAGAAGGAATCATACAATATTAGTCCTTTTGTGACTGCTTTATTTCATGTAGCATAATATCCTCAAAGTTCATCCATGCTGTAGTGTGTCAGAATTTCCTTCCTTTTAAAAAGGGCTGAAAAATATTCCACTGTATTTATATACATTTTGTTTATCCATGTATCCGTTGATGGATATTTACATTGCTTCCACCTTTTGGTTATTGTGAATAATGCTATTGTGAACATGACACTTGAACAGGGTCTTTGAGACCCAGCTTTCAATCTTTTGGGTATACACCTAGGAGAGTAATTGTTGGACCATATGGTAATTCTACTTTTAACTTTGGGAGGGAACTGTCATGCTATTTTGCATAGTGGCTGCACCATTGTACATTTCTACTAACAGTGCATAAGGGCTCCAATTCCTCAAGAGCCTTACCAATTCTTATTTTCTGTTTATTTGATAATAGCCATCCTAATAGGTGTGAGATGCTATCTCATTGTGGTTTTGATTTGCATTTTCCTAATGACTAGTGATGTTGAGCATCTTTTCATGTGGTTATTCACCATTTGTTTATCTTCTTTGGAAAAATAACTATTCAAGTCCTTTGCCCATTTTTTTTTTTTTAAAGATTTTATTTTTTCCTTTTTCTCCCCAAAGCCCCCCAGTACATAGTTGTGTATTCTTCGTTGTGGGTTCTTCTAGTTGTGGCATGTGGGATGCTGCCTCAGCGTGGTCTGATGAGCAGTGCCATGTCCGCGCCCAGGATTCGAACTAACGAAACACTGGGCCGCCTGCAGCGGAGCGCGTGAAATTAACCACTCGGCCACGGGGCCAGCCCCTCCTTTGCCCATTTTTTAATTTGGTTTTTTGGGGTTTTTTTTGCTTGCGTTGTAAGGAGTCTTTTATATATTCTGGATGTTAAGCCCTTATCACATAGATGATTTGCAAATATTTTCTTCCATGAGTTACCTTTTCACTCTGTTGACTGTCTTTTATCTGGCTTTTAAATTAGGAAATACTAAAAATCTGCTTAATAAGTAAAATGAGTATCATAAAAATAAGCTTCAATACCATATCAGGAGCAGTGAAAAGCAGGGATAGTGCAGGAAGATAGGGAGGAAATGAAGCTGAAAAGAATGTGAACACAAAAGAGTTATGGAGACAGAGAAAGGCAAACACAAAAGCATATGGTTCTTAATATTTGTGTCATAAATACTTTTATCCCATTTTTCAGTTGTTTTAGTTTTGACATCTCTTGCTTTTAGTAATTTTCGTCCATTCATTCATAAAGCACATCCTGAGTGTCTACAACTATGGCTTTGCCTGCATTCAAGGTTTTTATCTTGTTAAGAGGCTAAGGTAAGATAGACATTAAAAATTAAGGAGGACTAAAGTAAGTGCCATAACAGAAGTATTGTGAAGAAGGAGCCTACGAGGGAGTGTGTCTTTTCACTGTGTGCCTTCCAGCATAAGCAGCTCTGCTAGCTCTGAACGAGGCCCTTGTCTCTGTTGGTAGCCTTCCTGGTATTTCTGACCACTTCTCCTGGACAGGGCATTCTTCTAGGAGTTGAAATTTCTTAAGTGGAAAAGCCATGGCTATTCCAATTTAGGTTGAAACTCAAAAATGACAAAATATTTTAAAACAATCAGTAATAAAATTCAAACTCTTGCCTATCAGGTAACTTTGTAATTCAAGGCCAATTTAATTTAGTATAGGTCCCTATCTTTATCCTCTCTCCCTCTCTCAACCAATGATTTTACAAATGCTTAGTGTTTCTTAGCCATTTCCTCTTTTTTTATTTTGGTGTACCTGTTGAAATGAACTTTAGTACCAAGCTTTTCTAACTACTAGGCAGTGTGGTCTGTGGTGGGTGGAGGAAATTACAAGTGTGGCCAACTTCTGTTGGAGGCTGACTCTTGTCACTGTTAGGGGATTTCTATGAAGTAATTAGATTGAGCAAGATTCCATTTTTAGATATTTTTTTCCTAGGGCATCATAGTCTGTAGCACTTCTGGCTAGCAGCACCAGAAAGGTAGGCTGTTTTGAAATACTCTCCTAAGTGAGGTAATTTTGCATAAGTTAACATATTTTAATTAATTTATTTTGAAGTAACTTTCATTTATTGTAAGCAAAAGAATAGGCCCTCTATTAAGTGTATAGCTTCGACTTTTTTTTTTTCCTTTTTCTTCCCAAAGCCCCCGGGTAGATAGTTGTATATTTTTAGTTGTAGGTCCTTCTAGTTGTGGCATGTGGGATGCCACCTCAGCGTGGCCTGACGAGCGGTGCCAGTGAGCACCCAGGGTCCAAACCTGCGAAACCCTGGGCCACCAAAGCAGAGCCCGCAAACTTAAGCACTCAGCCACAGGGCTGGCCCCTAGCTTTGACTTTTATATAGACTACATCTTATTTACCACCAAAAGTCTAATTGCCATCCATCACCATACAAATGACCCCTTTTATCCATTTTGCTTTCCGTCTACCTGCCTTCCCTTTGGTAACCACCAATCTATTCTCTGTATCCATGAGTGTGTTTGTTTATCTTCCACATATGAATGAAACCATACGGCATTTGTCTTTCTCCACCTGACCTATTTCACTTAGCATAATACCTTTGAGGTCCATCCATATTGTCACAAATGGCAAGACTTCATCTTTTCATTTTGTGGCTGAGTAATATTTCATTTTGTATATATACCCTATCTTTATCCATTCATCCATCGATAGGCACTTAGGTTGTTTCCCTGTCTTGGCTATTGTGAATATGATGTAGTCTATACAGAAGTTGAAATATAATGATGTACACATAAGTTAATATTTATTTTTTATTTTTATGTTTTTTTGGTGAGGAAGATTGTCCCTGAGCTAACATCTGTGCCAACCTTCGCTCTGCTTTGTATATGGGATGCCACCACAGCATGGCTTGTTGAACAGTGTGTAGGTCCATGCCCAGGATCTGAACCCACAAACCCTGGGCCGCCAAAGCAGAATGGCCGAACCCAACCACTATACCACCAGGCCAGCCCCAAGTTAACATATTTTAAATTGTAGATTTAAAGACGTTTCACATCCTAAACTAAATGACAGAACCTAAAACGAATGTTTTCCATCAAACATTTTTCAGTGAGACAGTTATTGTTGTAACGCAATTGCATTATAAAACTTAAATTTCTTTATATGTGTAGTGTCACTAGGCCCAAATTACACAGCTGTCAAGAACCTTCCAAAGCATTTAGGAACTTTCTGCTTCAAGATAAATTTTTCTATTCAGTAAGCACCCCATTCACTGCTTTTACTCCTGTATTTAACAAGAAAAAAAAAGTTTAAAAAACAGTGATTTCCTTTCTAGTGCTAAGCAGGTGGCACAAAATACCTTCTTTTTAAAAGTACAATATAGTATTGTAATCAATATTGCTTCTGTAGTAAGAATTCTGCCAAGAAATAGCCATAATAACTAAAAGAAAAGTTACCACTTTTTGAAATTACTAAATCAAGTATCAAAAAGAATTCATCACTGCTAAATGATCCAGTATTACAAATACTTTTTACTTGCTACTGATATTGACTGCTTTATGGAAAGACTAAAATTAGCTCAAATAAATCCATGAAAACTGAGCTACATACAAATGGCCATATATGATTATAACAATGAGATATTTGGCTGCCACACACCCATAATCAGGCTTAACACATAGATTTGTAGCCAAAGTGACTTCGAGGCCTTTGGAATTGTCTTAAGTACCAGCTGTGGCCTGAACCTGACATGGGAGCTTCTCCCTAGGCTGATACCAGAGATCCAAGTTGATATTTCTAGGGACAAGTAGGGCCCTCTGGCACACACGACCATATTCATCTTCTAGTCTATCCAGAAAGGTTGAGGTGACTGAGGAGCCCAGCTGGTCATCCTACCCTAACCCTTGTAACCAAATTTCATTGACGAGGGAGAGCAAGAGGACTGCCAGCACCTTTCTGATTTTTTCTGTCAATTCTGACTCAAAACCAGGGAAACACTAGTCAACAGTTACTCAGGATTTGTCTTCAATGTTAAGAAATTGTGGCCATGACAGTTTCGTAAGAAAAATTTTGTATGATATAAAGTAACAACCTTTATTCTCTCTTAACAAGGGTACCAAAAAGTTTTCCACATTATAGATGATAGGAAAGTATGATTTCCAATCTATTGATTTTATAGAGTTTTCATTAATGTCCAAAGACACTTATTGATGAGGATTTCCTGCAGAAATCTTAGAAGTCAACTTTCATCCTACATACTACTTTCTAATATTGGAAATCAGTATTAGAAAGTCTGCACTGATGAATAATTCTGGATGATTTTGTATAGTCTCAGATTTTTAGCCCTAAGAATTTGAGGGCTGTGAAACTGCCTCCTAACCTAGCAGAACCAAGCAGAAGACACCTAACTTTCAAAACGAGTTGAAAGATACAACTTTTAATTTGGTACATTTAGTGGACAAAGTCCTTATGAACAGGCAAATCTGCAAGCTGAGATTTTTTTTTTCAGGTTTAGTTTTACGGCCACTATATCTCTCTTTGATGAACACTTTACAAAGTCATATAAATAGGCTCGCTGTATTAGAGCACCTGAGAAAGAGTATGAAGTAAGAGTTTATAACTATTTTTTCAGATACACAAAAAAGCACAATTATAATCTCTGTCCTCTTCATAAATTCATGACAAACCCACAGTAACCTAATAAGGTTATTTTAATGGGTGCTAAATATAAATACTTATCTCCTATCTATACTCTTGTATTGACTAAAAGTCTTCTATGAATAGAAAGCTATTACTGTCTCTCTTCAAGTTTGTCTGTATCACATAAGCACTGATCAGTTCTGGACAATTCATTCACAGCTGCCTGTTTTTGCTGAGTGGTCTTCACAAATCTGAGCAGATTGATGAGAGCAGCAGGTGTCACTCCTGGAATACGACTCGCAGCCCCAATCTAAGAATTGAAACCACAAGAGAAACATGAGTGAGCTATGTCAAATCAAATCAAATCTATTTTCCTCCTATTAACAATCTATATATTATAGTTTATAAAATATTTTCAAAACTATCATCACAATGTATCTTCAAAATAACTATAAAGTAGATAAAGGAAATGTGATTATTACTAATATTTTGCAAACTGGGGAAACTGAGGCTCAGAGATGTAAATGACTTGTCCAAGATCACATAACTAACAGATGAACTCTGATGACCAGCGCTGTCCAATTGAACTCTCTGTGATGATGGAATTTTCTATAACATTTGCACTATAATAATGCACTTGTCCAATACAGTAGCCACTAGCCATATGTGGCTGCTATGACTGAAGAGCTGAATTTTTATTTTATTTAATTTTAATTAACGTAAATGGTAACATTTGGCTAGTGGCCATCATGTCAGGCAATGTAGCCTATGACTATACATAAAAACATAACCCAAAATGAATAGGATATATAGAGAGAATTATAAAATTTAAGGCCTGTTTGCCTGGTTTCCATGATGACTATTGCTAAGAACACCATGTTATATTGATGAAATCACTCTTCCTTTTAATAAAAATCATTTTTTTCAAAAATTTTTTACAAAACATATTTTTGTTAAATGCCCCTTTATTTTATGAACCACTACTAAACAAACAAAACACTGCCCACCAAACTATAATACACCATCAATTTTTAAGATACAACTTAGTTTGAGATGTTAAAATGTGCATCTCAGAATCAATAAATATAGCTTATCAGTCTTTAAATATTTGTTATTATAGTCCAATACTATATAACGAACATTTTTACAGATGTTTACAGATGTGCCGTGTGTGCATGTGCACACACACACAAATCTGAGGCTGAAGCATGGAGTGGGGACCTCTTTGGCTCCCCTCTTTCCCTTAGTAGCTCCCAAGGCAACACAATGGAACCCCTAGGGAGAGATCCAAGAAGAGATTTGAAAACCACTGATATGCATCATATTTTAACCTAAAGTGGTTTAAGTCATGCATATACACTAGTCTGCACTGATGGTTCAGCACATGGTTGAGACGAGAAGATAATTATAATCAACCCAATTCTTGACTTCTAGTTATTTATTTAGACTAAGCTTTTTCATCTCTTGAAAACATGCCAACATCTGTGGGATACAAAGAGATATATGAAAATAAGAGGTTAAGTTTTTTATGATGAAATAAAACGTTAGTTATGTGGCCACTGTAATCCAGCTTTAAAGAATTAAACCACTGTCTCTTTATTTATAACCTGTTCCTATCCACTATCTGTTTTCTTACCGTCAGTGGGCGACTGAACTGTAGCTTTTCTCGAACTTCATAGGACAGAGACACATCCCTGAGAGTCAAATAATCTAGGTCTTCTGGCAGTTGGAGAGCTTCATTTCGCTGAACTTCCTTTATTTCTTGTTGCTGATGGAATAATACTGATTCATAAGTGGCTGGTGAACAAAATTAATTACATTATGATACTCAGATTATTTTAACAACTTATATTTTTATAGTTTTTTCCAATTTATAAAGAGCTTTTGCATATTTATATCATTTCCACTTATCCCAACAGCATGAGACAGGTGGGGCAGGTGTTCCCTTCCACAGATGAGGAAATTGAGGCTAACATTGAAGAGAGGTGGTATCTTGCATATTAACTACAACATTCTGTCTGGTAGTTTATTGCATGTCTTTTTCATTTCAAAAATCTGGAAAATTAAAGGTAAAAAAAGAAACTGCTTTCCCTCAGTGCAAATTTTGGTGGAGCATTTCCCTCAATAGGCTGTCAGTTTGAATGTTAAGTCCTAAAGACAGGATGTTTCTTCTAGAAAAGTTTTCTGAATTGTGTCTATATAAAGCTATAATTTAAAAAAGCAGAGCTTCTCAGATGATAATTTAAATAATTCAACTAAAGTTTCACTCAGAAGGTAAGTTAGATAATTCTGCAATTATTTTGTAATTAAAGCATTATGTTCTTAGAAAAATAAATTCAGAACCCATTTTGAAACCTAAATTGAGGTGGGCATTCTGTCCCGTTCAAGAAAACAAGCCTTCCCTCAAGTTTTGGTTGCATCTGCTTCCATCACTTGACTGGCAGCCAGAAGAACCTCAGCTCTGAGCCTGGCTCTCCCAGCAAATTACCCTCTGACCACGAGCACGTCATTTCCTTCTGAGCCTCGGCTTCTTTATCTAGATGTTTACGAGCTGATCCGGATGACTTCTGATAGTCTTTATGGCAACAAAGGATAATTAGGAGTGCACGGGCCCTGCAGTTAGACCAGGCAGGTTTAAGTTTCAGCTCTGCCACTAACCAATTGTGTGATCTTGGGCAAGTGACCACTTATCTGTAAAATTAAGACAATAATGCCACACAGGACAGTTCTAAGTCTCAAACGAAATAATGCATGTAAAGGGCTTAATACAACACTGTAATATAACAAATTAGGACAATAAATTGTAATACTATTTTATGACTCATGCATAGACTCTTCAGGGGATCATGGAATATAAATGAGGAGATAATGTATATGTTAAAGGTATATTACTTAATCTTTCAAATATGTATATAGCAAAACATGAGAGAGAATACAAAGAAGAATCTGAAATTGATTTCTGTCCCCGAGAAACATGTCGAGAAGTGGATGTGTAATGCAGAGGAGGAGAGGAAGAGTGATTTGAAAACTACTGATATGTGTTGTATTTTAACCTAGTGGGATTTCTTTTAAGCCATGAATATAAATTAGAGTCTTTATATGTGCCAGAGTCTTTAAAGAACAAGGCAAAAAAGTAGCTATTCCATGGCTGAAGTCAAGGATTCCTACAAACAAGTTAAAGACGGTAATTCTTTTTTTCCCCATTTATTTTATTGAGGTCATAATGGTTTATAACATTGTGTAATTTCAGTTGTACATTATTATTTATCAGTTTCTTTATAGACTGCATTGTGCTCCTCACTAATAGTCCATCACAATATATGTGCCCCTTCACCCCTTTTGCCCACCCCCCAACCCCCTTCCACCCTGGAAACCACTAATCTTTTTATCTGTGTGTTTATCTTCCACAAATGAGTGAAATCATATGGTGTTTGTCTATCTCTGTCTGCCTTATTTTGCTTAACATCATACCCTTGAGTCCATCCATGTTGTTGCAAACGGGATGATTTTGTCTTTTTTTAAAGGCTGAGTCATATTCTATTGTGTGTATATATCACATCTTCTTTATCCATTCATCAGTCGATGGGCACTTGGGTTGCTTCCATGTCTTGGCTATTGTGAATAATGCTGCAGTGAACATAGGGGTGAGTATGTCACTCTCAATTGTTAATTTCAATTTCTTTGGATAAATACCCAGTAGTGGGATAGATGAGTCGTATTGTATTTCTATTTCTAATTTTTTGAGAAATCTCCATACTGTTTTCCATAGTGGCTGCACCAGTCTGCACTCCCACCAGCAGTGTATGAGGGTTCCCATTTCTCCACATCCTCTCCAACATTTGTTATTTTTAGTCTTGGTGATTATAGCCATTCTGATGAATGAGGTGATATCTCATTGTAGTTTTGATTTGCATTTCCCTAATAATTAGTGATGTTGAACATCTTTTTATGTGCCTGTTGGTCATCTGTGCATCTTCTTTGGAAAAATATCTGTTTATATCCTCTGCCCATTTTTTTTTTTTTTTAAAGATTTTATTTTTTTCCTTTTTCTCCCCAAAGCCCCCCGGTACATAGTTGTATATTCTTCGTTGTGGGTCCTTCTAGTTGTGGCATGTGGGACGCTGCCTCAGCGTGGTCTGATGAGCAGTGCCATGTCCGCGCCCAGGATTCGAACCAACGAAACACTGGGCCGCCTGCAGCGGAGCGCGCGAACTTAACCACTGGGCCACGGGGCCAGCCCCTCCTCTGCCCATTTTTTGATCAGGTTGTTTTCCTGTTGTTGAGTTCTAAGAGTTCTTTCTATATTTTGGTTAACCCCTTGTCAGAAATATGATTTGGAAATATTTTCTCCTAGTTGGTGGGTTGTCTTTTTGTTTTTTTCATGGTTTCCTTTGCATTGCAGAAGCTCTGAAGTCTGATGTAGTCCCAATTTTTTGTTTTTCTTTTGTTTCCCATGCCTGAGAAGACATGGTATTCGAAAACATGCTGCTATCACTGATGTCAAAGAGTGCACTGCATATGTTTTCTTCTAGGAGTTTTATGGTTTCAGGTCTTACTTTCAAGTCTTGCATCCATTTTGAGTTAACTTTTGTGCATGGTGTAAGAGAATGATCTACTTTCATTCCTTTGTATGTGGCTGTCCAGTTTTCCCAACACCATTTATTGAAAAGACTTTCCTTTCTCCATTGTATGTTCTTGGCTCCTCTGTCAAAGACTAGCTGTCCATCAATGTGTAGGTTTATTTCTGGGCTTTCAATTCCATTCCACTGATCTGTGTGTCTGTTTTTGTGCTAGTACCATGCTGTTTTGATTACTGTAGCTTTGTAGTATATTTTGAACTCAGGGATTGTGATGCCTCCAGCCCTGTTCTTTTTTCTCAGGATTGCTTTGGCTATTCGGGGTCTTTTGTTGTTCCATATAAATTTTAGGATTCTTTGTTCCATTTCTGTGAAGAATGTCACTGGGATTCTGATTGGAAGGGCACTGAATCTGTAGATTGCTTTAGATCATATGGACATTTTAATTATGTTTATTCTTCCAATCTATGTGCATGGAGTATCTTTCCATTTCTTTATTTCATCTTTGATTTCTTTCAATAATGTCTTATAGCTTTCATTGTATAGGTCTTTTACCTCTTTGGTTAAATTTATTCCTAGATATTTTATTCTTTTGTTGTGATTGTAAATAGGATTGTATTCTTCTCTTTCTGCCAGTTTGTCATTACTGTATATAAATGCAACTGATTTTTGTAAGTTGATTTTGTACCCTGTAACTTTGCTGTAGTTGTTGATTATTTCTAATAGTTTTCTGGTGGATTCTTTAGGGTTTTCTATATATAGAATCATGTTGTTTGCAAAGTGAGAGTTTCAATTCTTCCTTTCCAGTTTGGATTCCTTTTCTTTTTCTTGCCTAATTGCTCTGGCCCAAACCTCCAGTACTATGTTGAATAGTAGTGGTGAGAGAGGGCATCCTTGTGTTGTTCCTGTTCTCAGAGGGATGGTTTTCAGGGTTTCCCGGTTGAGTATGATGTTGGCTATGGGTTTGTCATATATGGCCTTTATTATGTTGAGGTGCTTTCCTTCTATACCCATTCTATTGAGAGTTTTTACCATACATGGATGTTGGAACTTCTCAAATGCTCTCTCTGCCATCTATTGAGATGATCTGTGATTTTTGTTCCTCCATTTGTTAATGTGACGTAGCACATTGATTGATTTGCAGATGTTGAACCATCCCTGTGTCCCTGATATAAATCCCACTTGATATGGTGTATGATCCTTTTAATGTATTACTGGATTCAGTTTGCCAATATTTTGTTGAGAACTTTTGCATCTATGTTCATCAGTGTATTGGCCTGTGATTTTCCTTCTCTGTGTTGTCCTTGTCTGGTTTTGGTATCAGGGTGATGTTGGCCTCATAGAATGAGTTAGGATCATTCCATCTTCTTCAATTCATTGGAATAGTTTGAGAAGGGTAGGTCTTAAATCTTCTTTGAATGTTTGGTAGAATTCTCCAGAGAAGCTGTCTGGTCCTGGACTTTTATTTTTTGGGAGATTTTTCATTACTGTTTTGATGTCTTGTGATTCGTCTATTCAGATTCTATATTTCCTCTTGGTTCAGTTTTGGGAGATTGTATGAGTCTAAGAATTTATCCATTTCTTCTAGGTTATCCAATTTGTGGGCATGTAGTTTTTCATAGCATTTTGATATAGTCCTTTGTATTTCTGCGGTATCTGTTGTAACTTCTCTTTCATTTCTAATTTTATATATTTGAGACTTCTCTCTTTTTTTCTCAGTGAGTCTTGTTAAGGGTTTTTCAGTTTTGTTTATCTTCTCAAAGAACCAGCTCTTAGTTTCATTGATCCTTTCTACTGTTTTTTTTTGGTCTCTATTTCATTTATTTCTGCTGTAATTTTTATTATTTCTCTCCTTCTTCTGGCTTTGGGCTTTGTTTGTTCTTATTTTTCTAGTTCTTTTAGGTGTAGTTTAAATTTTACTTATTTGAGATTATTCTTGTTTGTTGAGATGGGCCTGTTCCACTATGAAGTGCCCTCTTAGAACTGCTTCTGCTATATCCCATGAGAGTTGGTATGATGTATTCTCATTTTCATTTGTCTCCAGGTATTTTTTTATTTCTCCTTTGATTTCTTAATTGATCCAATGGCTGTTCAGTAGCATGTTGTTTAGTCTCCACATATTTGTGACTTTCCCAGGCTTTTTCCTGTAGTTGATTTCTAGTTTCATAGCATTGTGGTCAGAAAAGATGCTAGATATGATTTCAATCTTCTTAAGTTTATTGAGACGTCCCTTCTTCCCCAACATATGGTCTATCTTTGAGAATGATCCATGTGCACTTGAGAAGAATGTGTATTCTGCTGTTTTTCGATGGAATGTTCTATATATATATCTATTAAGTCCATCTGCTCAGGTGGTTCATTTAAGTCCACTATTTCCCTGCTGACTTTCTGTCTGTCTGATCTATCCATTGATGTAAGTGGGGTGCTGAGGTTCCCTTCTATTATTGTGTTGCTGTTAATTTCTCCCTTTAGGTCTGTTAATAGTTGCTTTATATACTTGGGTGCTCCTGTGTTAGGTGCATATATATTTATAAGTGTTATGTTTTCTTGGTGGAATGTCCCTTTCATCATTATATACTGCCCTTCCTGGTCTCTCCCTGCCTTTTTTATCTTGAAGCCTGCTTTGTGTGATAGAAGTATAGCTATACCTGGTTTCTTCTGTTTGCCATTTGCTTGGAGTACCGTCTTTCTTCCCTTCACTGTGAGCCTGTGTTTGTCTTTAGAGCTGAGATGTGTTTCCTGGAGGCAGCATATTGTTGGTCTTGTTTTTTAATCCATCCAGCCATTCTGTGTGTTTTGATTGGAGAATTCAATACATTTACAGTTAGAGTGATTACTGATATATGAAGGCTTAATAATGCCATTTTATTGTTCGTTTTCTGGTTGTTTTGTATTTTGCTTGTTTCTCTTCCTTTGTATTTCTGACTGCTATTTCAATTTGGTGGTTTTCTGTGATGGTTTTCTCAGTATTTATGATTCATGTCTCTGGTCTGATTTTTTGTTTAGTGGTTACCATGACATTTGTATAAAAGATCTCAAAAATAAGAGCTCATTTTCTGATAGCCTCTTATCTTCATTAGCCTAAACAGGTTCCATCCCTTTCCTCTTCCCCTTCTAAGTTATTTTTGTCAAAAATTATTGTTTTGTGTTGTGATTAAAATGTTTATAGTTATTTTTGATGTTTTCCTTCCCTTTTATGTAATTGTTTGCTAAACTGTTCTGATAGAGAGCTGCAATTTTTTTATTTTGTCTGTCTGTTTATCTCCTTGCTCAAGGCTTTGTAAATCTTTGCCCTTTAGTTTCAGGTATGAGGGCATTCTTGATCATTTCTTGTAGGGAGGTCTAGTGGTGAGGAACTCCCTCAACTTTTGTTTATCTGGGAAAGCTTTTATTTCTCCATCATATCTGAAAGATAGTTTTCCTGGATAGAGTATTCTTGCCCACAAGTTTTTGTCTTTCACAATTTTGAATATCATTCCATTCTCTCCTAGCCTGTAAGGTTTCTGCTGAGAAATCCACTTGAGAGCCTGATAGGGGTTCCTTTGTAGGTTATTTTCTTCTGCCTTGCTATCCTTAGTATTTTTTCTTTGTCATGGACTTTTGTCAGTTTTACTAATATATGCCTTGGAGAAGGTCTTTTTGCTGTGATGTAATGAGGAGTTCTATTGAACAAGCTCTCTGCTTCTTTCTCCCACTGGAATATGTATAATCTTTATGTTGCATTTCCTAACTGAGTCGGATATTTCTCAAAGAGTTTCTTCATTTTTTTTAGTTGTAGTTCTCTCTCCTTCTCCACCTGAAGCATTTCTATGTTTCTGTTCTCTAAATTACTAATTCTGTCCTCCATATCAGCAGCTGTTTTTTAAGGTTTCTAGATTTTTAAAAATCTTATTCATTGTGTTCTTCATCCCCTGAATTTGTTGGGTTTTTTTTAGATTTTCAGTCTCTTTGGTGAAGAATTCCTCTGCTCATTAGTTATATTCCTGAGTTCATTGAACTGTCTGTCTGAGTTTTCTTCAAACTTGTTGAGTTTCTTTATGAGAACTATTTTGAATTCTCTGTCATTTAGATTGTAAATTTCTGTGACTTCAGGATTGGTTTCTGGAGACTTGTCATTTTCCTTCTGCTCTGGAGCATTAATGAATTTCTTCATTGTGTCTGATGAAGTGATCCTTTGCTGGCACACAGTGGTAGTTATCAGGCCACAGATTCCACCTGCCACCACTGGTGGGGAGGGGCAGGAGCTGTTTTCTGAAGCTGCTGCATCTGCTGGAAGTTGTGCTGACAGTGCTTGTCTGTGTTTGCCTGCTGGCTGCAGCCACTTGGTGGGTCACACATGCACATGGAGGTGCTCTGGTGCAAATCTGCTGCCTTGGCTGGGGACTGGGTGAGTTGTTCACTAGGTGGGGAGGGGTGGGGTGCCTTCTTTCACACGTTTGCTGGTCCACTCTGTGCTGATGGACCGTTTGCCTGGGCTGCTGCACTTCATGGGGACGCCCACATGGTGGCTGAGCCATACCACTCTGTGTGGAGTATTCCTACAGGCTGGTCTGCCACTCTGAAAGCAAAAGCATTCATGTGCAGGCCTGCCTGCTCCCCTGCCTCTTCTGCCATTTGTGCACCAGCTGCTGTGTGAGGACCTGTTACCTTCATTGCTGCTACTGAGGAGGAGATCTGCTCACCTCCTTCCACTGTTTCCTGGGGATGAAGTAGCCCCACCTTCAGATGTATGGCTGTGTGGATCTCTCAGATGTCCTACTGTGCTTTGTAGGGAATCTTCTGTTGGTAATGAATGTCTGTTTTATTGTAACTTAGCAGGGAGAGACTAAGGGAAGAGCTTACTCTGCCATGATGCTGACATCACTCTCTAAAGATAACTATTCTTTATTCTAACCTGAACCTAGTGATTTATCAGACAAAGCAAAATTGCAAACCAAGTTTAAAATACAGAATTTAATCACCTTTTCCCAGGGGCTAACAGCCTAAATGTTCAATCAGGTAAATTTTACTCAACAGAGAAATCAGAATGTTGAAATAAAAGGTCAACATTACTTCTTATACATTAGCATACTACTAGTGTCTGGTCATTTGAAAGAATGATTCTAGGATTTCGGTGAGTTCCTTTTGTTGGTAGACTTTTGTTAGCTTGCATTCTGGGATGGTAAGTAGTACTTGGGTCATCCTATATATACAGCCAAAGCAGAGAAATGTGACAGACCTCTCTGGAGTTCAAAGAAAATGCTGCTTCTAGAAGGAATGCAGCACTCTTACCATCTTCACCGGTCCTCAAGGAACTGAAGTCCTTTCCTGTTTGAACAGTACAACATCTTCCAACTTTTACTACCCTTTTCCCCATCTCATTCTGTTCCCTGCCTTTTTCTCCACATAGTTCCCTACCTCAGGAAAAAATCTGTCAAAATGCAGAAGCTGATATTATTCTCAGTATTTTTTGTTTATGCTTGAGACTTTTCATAATGAAAAACTAAAAAAAGGCAGAGCAACTACAAAAGTCATCTGTGGATTTGATGGTCAATACACTGATCCAGAGTATGAGAGCACACCAAGTGTTATAATGTACAGGGACAGACTCTGGATTTCTTTGCCTGATACAGAGTATTTGTTAATGGTAGAGTATTCCACTATTTTGTCAAAGCCAAAGACAGTATTATTTTTCTCATTATTAGGACATTAGATGGGGAAAATGTAAAAAGGAAGCTCAAGGGAAAAAAATAAGTTTTTTTATCTAAAGGAGAACTCTCCAGTAGCACTTCCCAAACTTGAAATGTGCACACAAATCCCCTGGGGATCTTGTTAAAATGCAGATACTTACTCAGTGGGTCCATGGTGGAGCCTGAGATTCTGCATTCCTAACAAGCTCCCACATGTTGCAATGCTGTTAGCCTGGGAACCCCATTTTGAGTAGCACAGAGCCTAAGACTATGCTGGTCCTATGGTAATAATGGCTTTTCTTGACATAGGGCTCTTATTGGATCTGCTGTCCATTCGTAATGTCCACATATAAGAGCATATAGGCATCTTAAGTAAAAAAGTATTTCCTACCTTCTATTTTCAGTCTTTTAGCTAGCTCTCTACATTCAGTGTACTTCTTCAAGGGCTCTGGAATAGCCTTGGCCAGCACCTCCATGTCAACTTCCTCATACTTCAGAACATCCAGAGCTCTGTAAATACACACAAGTTTCATTAACATTTGGGTCCATATAAGGCAAATTAAAAGAAGATTCCTGGGAAACAATACTAAATCTCAGAATAAATAATATCAAAAGATACCCCTAGTTCTTTCCAAGTCCAATGAGCAAATGCAGCAGCATCTGCAACACAGGGGGACCTCAATGAGCTTAGTGTGTGATTCTCCCCAACTCCCTTCCTTTATCGTGAGAAACTAGTGGTTGGTAAAGCTTTGATTGCTATAACCCATTTGTCCTCCCTTTCTTGTAAAGACAGAGTGTCCTCTGATAACAAGGGTTTAATCGAATTCTCTTAAGTATTTACATCTAAGCCATGTTAAGTCCATGTCCTGTGAAGGAGATCTCCTGCTTGTTTCAAGATTGCAAAATATTCTGCAGTTTCCCTCTCATTTTGTTTGGGTCTCACAAGGCCTCACTGATGTATATAGTTTTCCTACATTTACTGCCTTAATTCATTTTATTTTTATTTACTAACTTGGATCTTTCTTTTTTTTGGTGAGGAAGATTGGCTTGAACTAATATCTGTTGCCAATCTTCCCTTCTTTGCTCTAGGAAGGTTGTGCCTGAGCTAACATCTGTGCCAGGCTTCCTCTATTTTGTATGTGGGTCACTGCCACAGTGTGGCTTGATGAGCAGTGTGTAGGCTGGCACCTGGGATCTGAAGCCACAAACCTGGGCCACTGAAGTGGAGTGCACCAAACTCAACCACTATGCCACCAGGCTGGCCCCAATCTTTCCCTCTTACAATAGCTTGCTTTTTTGAAAAATTCTGTCCACCCAAAATCAATTAAACCAATTAATTATCAACTCAACAGAAAGTCAGATCTGCCCATCCAGGAGTGCTGAGTCTTCCCAGGCCTCCCAGCAACCTCTATAGCTCCTTCTATTATCACAGTCATGCATTATCACCCTTTGCAGATGCTTGACTCATCTTTTCTGGCTCTAGAAGTCCAGAAATTCCCTCCCTATAAGGAACTGGTCACTTTGTTGTGCTCCAAGAGACAAATTAGGTCAACTAATTACAGAGACTTCATCAGATAAGCTGCAATGAAACCATATAACCCTAAGCTCCAAAACAGAAATGGCTGTCCTTTCAGAAATTATAGAACATAATGGGGTAGACCTTCTAATGACTAACTAACTAGTTACCCTAGAATCCAGGAGGATAGTGACCTCACAGACAGCCCTTGACCACCTAACTTTTAAAAAAATTTAAATAATTTATTTACAAGGCTTGGAGCTGTTCTTAGGTCCAAACTTCAAGACCTGCTTTGAATCAAGCCTAAGCCTCAGAGCCCAGAGCTCTGGCACAGAAAGGACAAGTCCGTACACTTCAGCAGAACACAAGAGACAATGTCTGAGCCATCTAACACATCAATGCATTTCCCTATAATCCTGAAAGGAAAATGCATGCACATGCACTCTGTATCTCTTTTGTTAAAATGCCTGCTCAAGGGGCCAGCCCTGTGGCTAAGTGGTTAAGTTCACGTGCTCTGCTTCAGTGGCCTGGGGTTCACCAGTTTGGATTCTGAGCGTGGACCTACATGCTGCTCATCAAGCCATGCTGTGGCAGCACCCCACATAGAGGAGCTAGAATGACCCACAACTAGGATATACAACTATGTACTGGGGCTTTGGGGAGAAAAGGAAGAAAAAAAGAGGAAGACTGGCAACAGATGTTAGCTTAGGGCCAATCTTCAAAAAAAAAAAACCTGCTCAAAGTCTTGTTCAACTTAGTGCTTAGTACAGAGCCTGGCATGTATGCAATAAATGCATTTTGGCCAATCTTCTACCTTTTTAGCTTTATATATCTAGGCATTGATAAAGTGAGTTCATGTTGGGAGGCTGAATGTTACACTGTAAATACTCTGCTGTAATCAAATATGGGGACTGGGACACTGTTCCCTCTTGAAGGGAAAGGTACCTGAATTAAAAAGGAAAGCATTTGGCCAAATTACTTAAAAAAAAATCACCTTCACAAAATGGCTAAAATGCTAATTAATGCATAAATATATGAAAAAGGAGACTCTCAGTTTTATATTTTTACCAAAGTAATTCCATTAAAACCTTGTTGAAAACTTCTACTGCTCTCACTATGATCTCAATACAATTAGTCACATTTAATGCAAATTGTAATTAAATAAATTTGAAATAGTACAACATTTGATCAAAACAAAGCATAATGTTATAAATTCTTTGTGCGAAGTTGGAAACACTGTGAACCCTCCTAAATTTAAAACAAACAAATAGCTGGAAAATTGAGTGACTATAAACCATGTATATACTACTGCTATCTCTCAAGGCCACTTAGGTGGTAAACAAGTATCTCCGCCATCCTTATTTGTGAATCAGGCTGTCATTCCTGTGAATGAGGTCCCCAAGTCTGGGTGATTACTATGCAGGTTCTTTAATACTTACTGTTACTATCATTAAAAATCTGCTTAATAGCCTCTAACAGTGGTGCCAGTGCTTTGGGAAATTTCCATGAAAGTAAAAACTTGGGAACAGAAGTTGTAAACAATAAAACACCATGATGGATGAAAGAAAACAAGGACATATTATGCTAGGCTGTTAATTAAGGAGAGTGCATTTGGCAAGATTAGATAATAAAAAGCAGCATTAAAATGGGTATACCTTTAATCTACAAAATCCTCACAAGGGAAACAGGTTAAAAAAAAGAAATATACACGGGAGATACAGCTGCAAGATCTGTGCTTCTAAGCTACAAGTGTAGGTTGATGCCGTCTGAGCAACTCCCCTCCCTCAACTGGCACACTTAAAAAAAAAAAACCTTTTTTAATTGAAATAACATTGATTTTTAACATTGAATAAATTTCAGGTGTACATCAAAAATATGGAATGCTTCATGAATCTGCAAGTCTTCCTTGCACAGGAACCATGCCAATCTTCTCCGTATTGTTCCAATTTTAGTGTCTGTGCTGGCCAAGGTGAGCACAGCTTACTTTTTTTTAATGGGAAAAATCAGTGCTGAAATATGCAGATTTTGAACTACGCAAGGTCCTTAGGAACATATCTGTAAAGCAAAAAGCTCTCCATTAATGTCCCTTAGACTCAAAGTCCATATAACCAGAATGATAAAAACAAAAACCAAAAAATCCCTAAAATGTAGGAAGGTACTCCTGAAGTAAGTCCAAAGACTTTATAACACTCTGTTTAACCAAAGAGGTTTCCTTGCTGGAGCTCACAGACAAGATGAGACCATTCTAATTGCTCCAGGCTGATCAAAGAAATATTTCTTGGTTTGTACCCTCTAAATCTTGGGGAAGTCAGAACTCAATGGAGGCCACAGAGAAATTATATAAAAAATAAAAATAATAATTTAGAATCATATATATTTTTAATACTGTGTAAAGAGATAAGTTACATCTAAAGGATTCTGAAAACAAGCCAAAAGTAAGCTACATTCATTTAAAATGTGTAAGTAGGGCATCTTTAGGTAATGTCTTTCTGAAATGATCTTATTTTCTGTAAAAAGTGAGAAAGGTTTATATTAAAAATGCCTACCTGAGAGGCAGACTTTTACTAACACTTATTGAAGCCTCTGGAATTAACTTTTTCCATTTAGAACTTGAAAACTCAATGGATTTTAGCACAGAAATGCCTTCTTCTAAAGAAGACTTCATCCAAGAAGCTCTTTCATATCTTTGTTGGGACACACAGCCAGCTTCCTTATACCCTAGAAGAGGGAGGAAAAGAGCAGAATGAGAGAGGTGTCACAGAAGAATAAACCTGGCTGCCGGACTTCATGAAGACTGACCTCGGAATGTGAGCCTGCTGTCAGCATTATCGGGGCGCAGTGACAAACGGAACTCAGCTCGGCTGGTGAACATACGGTATGGTTCATTGGTGCCCAGTGTGGTGAGGTCATCAATCAAGACTCCTATGTAGCCTTCTGTTCGGCTAATGATAAAAGGAGGCTGGCGTCTGACCCGAAGACTTGCATTGATTCCAGCTATCACACCCTACAAGAAGACTGAAATGTTTAGAGCACTATTGTGAAGTAAACAAAGGGCTTTCTTATTCAGAACACTACCTGGAAAAAACAGCATGGGGCACCAAGAGAGCAGGCACTGCCCAGAAGGGATAGCATAGAGACAGAAAATGTGATCCTTATTCAGAAACAGAATATGAGTAATGTACCACTTTGTTTTCAACAATATCTGATATTCCCAATAAGCCTAGGTGGGCTAATCTTTTTAAAAAATCCACCTGTAAGACTTTTCTAGCCTTTCCCCACTTAGATGTAACAATAACACAACTTCCCACTTAAAAGGAATAATAATATAATTTTCAATAAAGTTATGTTAAAAGGACTACATTTTCTTTTTTTTTTAATTTCAGGGGCAGTACAATAAATCTATATTTTTTTAGATCCATGAGTTCAGAAAAGAGTAATAAGGCCACAAGTGTTTTTTAAATCCTATTGCATACAGTAGCCATTTCCATATGATCTTGAAAGGGAAGTAAGTCTTCTGTTCCAGTTGAGTTGTACCTAAGATCTATCAGTTACTATAACAGACACTAAGAGGTACAGCAGTTCAATAGTCCCTTTCTGTTTCTAACATTCGAACAACCTCTTACTTGAGCTGCAGCTTCCTCGTAACCAGTAGTGCCATTTATCTGTCCAGCAAAGAAGAGCCGTTGCACCAAATGTGTCTCAAGAGAAGGAGTGATCTGACGGGGGTCTAAGTAATCATATTGAACACCATAGCCTGAGCAAAGAATAAATGATGCAGAATAAATAAAAACAGAGCTGGTTTGCTTCAAGGCAGAGAAGCAAAGATTATCATTAAATGTTCTTCAAAAATGAACACTATTTTAAATGCACAGATGTTGCGCTTTGTCTTCGGAAGCTCTAACCGTGAGGGTAACTGAGGCCTCCTGTCTGCTGAACTGACGCTGAGCTCACAGTGAAAGGCAGCTGTGATTCCCTTTACCTGGCTGCACCATTTTAGCTTTCTCCAAGCCTCTGATGCATGTGATCATCTTCTCTTGTAGTTCAGCTGGTAGCGTCACAGATAACCCTTGTGGGTAGATGAGGCCAGAATCCAATCCTTCAGGTTCCAACCAAACCTGATGCAGACGGTTTGGAAAACGCAAAACCTTTGATTCAATGGAGGGACAGTATCTAGAACAGGACATTGAAATAAAAAAAATTAATGAAAGAAAAGAGCATTGACATCACCCCTTAAAATAACTAAGCACTGATATTTTGCCCTTACCGGGGTCCTCTTGTAGTTTCCTTAACGTGACTATTAAGGTGAAGGTTCTGAAGGACAATCTCATCCACTCTAGGGTTGGTGTGAGTCAAGTAACACGGCAGCTGATCTTCTGGCTGAGACACAGGACTAGTCACAGAACTGTTTTGCTTCTCTGTTAGTTTGCCTCTTAGTCAAATAAACTGCACACATGATATGCACTTACTTTCATAGACATTAAATCTATGCATAATGCCAAAGACTACTTATGAAGTATTGTCAAAACAACCCAAAATATGAATCTAAATTTAAGCCTCTAGATCCACCAGTTTACAGGAAATATAGAGGATGGAGGAACATGTTTAAGGCACCAGACGGATGAAATCAGACCAATCTAGAATGTAGGAAATTCTAGGGAACAAATGACTCAGTTTTCTTCCACATATAAACGTCAAAAACAGAAAAAAAAAAAAACTGTTATAAGACACATCATCCAATGCAATGTGTAGACCTTATTTTGGTTCCTGGTTCAAATAAAACAATTATAAAAAAACATTTTAAATAAACTGTAAACATTTTAAATAAACATTTTAAAACAACTGCAAAAAACAACTAGGGAAAACTAAACACTGAGTATCAGAGAATGTTAAGAAAATATGTTTTGCTGGGTGATAATGGTATTGTGTTTGATTTTTTACAAAGTTCTTATCTGTTAAAGACATATACCAAAGTATTTATAAGTGAAATGATGTGATGTCTGGGATTGTTGCTCTAAAACTCAGCAAGAAGAAAATGTTGAGGAAAGATGAAACAAGAATGCCAAAAAATGTTATTTCTTGAACCTGGGTGATGGACACATTTATTAGACCATTTTTTCTACTTTCTGTAATTTGAAAGTTTATTTTTAAAAAGTCTAAAAATATACACACTAAGAAAATATCATCACAATTTACATTTTACCAAAGCAAAAATATAAAAGTGACTTGCTCAAAATAACAGACTATTTAGAGCCACTCATTAGGATAACACTCAGCAGAAAACTAGGACCATCAATTATTAGTCCTCAATTCTAAACACACAATATACATTTTTTTAATTCAAAAGATAGGCACAAGTAGCCTGTACTATTCAAAAGTATCAGTATCATGAAAGACTGAGGAACTGTTCCAGATTAAAGAGAAATGACAATTAAATGCAGCATATCATCCTAGATAGGAAAAAAACCAAGTTGCTATTAAGAACCATATCAGGGGGCCAGCCCGGTGGCGCAGCAGTTAAGCACGCACGTTCCACTTCGGTGGCCCAGGGTTTGCCAGCTCAGCTCCTGAGTGTGGACCTATGCACTGCTTGTCAGGCCATGCTGTGGCAGGCGTCCCACATATAAAGCAGAGAAAGATGGGCACGGATGTTAGCTCAGGGCCAGTCTTCTTCAGTAAAAAGAGGAGGATTGGCAGCAGATGTTAGCTCAGGGCTAATCTTCCTCAAAAAAAAAAAAGAACCATATGGAGACAATCAGCAAAATCTGACCATAGACTCTATATTAGGTAACAGCACTGTATCAGTGTTAAATTCCCTGAATTTCATCACTGTGTTGAGGTTATATAGGAGGATGTCTTTGTGCTTAGTTGAGAGACACACTGAATATTTAGAGGTAAAGGGTCATGATCTCTGCAACTTACTCTCAAATGATTCAGGAAAAAAATAAGAAATGTATTACTGTTTTAAACAAACACTAAACATACACATCTATATATGTCTCTATATAGAGAGAGAAATATGGGAAGATATTAACAATGGGTGAATTTCAATGGTTTATAAGAGTTTGTTTTAATAGTCTTGCAACTCTTCTGTAGGTCTGAAATTGTTTCAAAAAGTTCAAATAGGCAGTTATCAAAGTAATGAAATTTAAGAACTTATGGGGAAACACCAAATTAGCCAAATTAGCTAATCCTTTAAAGATCACTTTTTTTGGACCCTAAGCAATAGTGATGTAAAGAGAATTGCTACCAAAAAAAAGAGAAAGAAATGGTTAGGCTATATGTTGCTGTGAACAACCAATATCAGCTGTAAAGGCAGATTATCATAAATTATCTTACCTTAATCCACACTGTCTCATGGATAAAGCTGAACGGTGTGGGTGGATTATCTGGTGTCTGCTTGTTTAGAATGCTGAAATTAATGGACTCTTTGGCAATTCGGGGTGGAGTCCCGGTCTTCAGTCTTCCCACCACAAACCCCAACCTCTCCAGAGTCTGAGCCAACCCTATGGAAGGCTGATCCCCTAGGCGTCCTGCCGGGTGCATCTCCAATCCAATGACCATCACGCCTCTCAGAAAGGTCCCAGTAGTCAGAATCACACTCTCCGCAAACACTGTGCTTCCATCCACTAAACGATTTAGGAAAGAGAGTAAAATCGTCTTCTAATTGTTACCATAGATCAAAGTGGAATGTGACTATTTTACATTAGAACTACAGAAAAACTTTGTCTTTAGAAACTTAAGAATTTTAAATGAATAAGAAGGCCATATGTTATCAATTGCAAGAATTCAAGAAAGCTGGGAGGGAGAACATAATATGTTAGCACCAATTCACATGTTCCTAAAGTCATATCAGCATGGAAAAGTTAATGTCAGTTAATTTTTTTAATTAATTAATTTTAGACTTCTTGCTAAATACAACAGACTACCTCACATGATTTCTTCTCCCTCTTGAAACTCCAAGAAAATAAAATAAAGGAACAAAAGACATATAAAATCACGGAGACAAGTAACGGAAAAGAACCTGTCAAAAGATGAGAAATTTCAAAATATTTTTGGAAGACAGAAAGTGGTTGGAAGATTGATAACTCTGATCTAGCAGAGGGGAGGTGGTGGTAACTCAAGAATCAGAAGAGAAGGGGCTGGCCCGGTGGCTCAGTGGTTAAGTTCGCATGTTCTGCTTCTCGGTGACCTGGGGTTTGCCAGTTCGGATCCCGGGTGCAGACATGGCAGGGCTTAGCAAAAGCCATGCTGTGGTAGGCGTCCCATGGATAAAGTAGAGGAAAATGGGCATGGATGTTAGCTCAGGGTCAGTCTTCCTCAGCAAAAAGAGGAGGATTGGCAGTAGTTAGCTCAGGGCTATTTGTCCTCAAAAAAAAAAAAATCATATCTTTGGGCCTATAAGATATAGACAGGTTCAAAAATCAGCATTTAAAGATACTAAATTAAGTAACAGAAGCATAAGTAATTTAAAGGTATAAAAGCCTACATTAATAACAATAATATAATCATTAAATCTGGAGAGAAAAGGAAATGAAAATAAAACTAATTTAGTTATTGTTTGTAGAGGGAAGTCAATAAACACAGAAGAAACAGAAGATAAAGCATATTATATAAATCATAGTTATTATAACGTAATCACCAGAACAAAAACACAAACTTTAAAAAAAGAAACATAGCTCCAAAAGCAAAGCAAACACAGATTAAGTGGGGGGGGGAAAGTACAGGACAGTGCACATAACATACTACTACTATGTGACAAAAATTTAAAATATATATACGATATGTACACCTGAAGACACATATATATGCATAGGTAGAGAGACTACACAAGAAACTAGAAATGCTCTTGCAAAAGAAAACTGGTTGGCTGGGGGACAAGAAGAGATAGAAACCACGTTTTCACCCTGTATTCTTTTGTCTCCTTTAAACTGTTTACCATGTGTATGTACTCCCCATTCAAAAAAACTAACAAATCTATAACAAAAATTAACTTTAAAACAGGGAAATTAGGTCAAGATCTGTATTTTAAATAGTGACATTCTTTAGCACAGCTCCTCTTGCCATTTTGTTCCCAGAATGCTCGCAGGCAGCCATATTAGTCCCCTAGCCAGAAAGCTGATTCTTCTCCTGAGAACTAACAGACATCGCCATTTGGGAGTTCCCCAACAAAAAGCCAGCTCAATCCCTAATCACCAGACCACAGAGTCAGCCAAGCAATAATACTAACTGCACACACAAATCTTCCAATCAGTGTTTTAGGGCCTCATTTTAAAATCTGAACTGACAACCAAAGTTCCCCAGACACTTGAAGAAAGCCCTCTACGTGAAAGGGAGCAGCCCAAAGAAGCAACAGAATAAAGAAATCTGGAGAAAACAATACACAGATCAGAAAGAAACTTCAAAATCGATAATTACAATCCTTATACAGATTAGAGAAAACATCAAATTCAGAAACCAAGAACAAGATGCTAAGAAAAATAAACAATCAGAAAAAAAGGACACTGTTTATAAAGGAAAACATAAATTTTAAAAATTCATTATAAGGATTTGGACAATAAAGTTAAGGAAATCTCCTAAGAAAGCATGGCAACATGACAAACAATAAAAATAGAAGAAACCTAGATGACCAATCCAAGAAGGGACAGAAGTGAGAGAAAGAGAGCATGCAGAAATAATAGAAGAAACCACTCCAGAAACCAAGGACAAAGATTTCTAGATTGAAAGCGAACACCTGGTACCCTACCACGATGTATGAACAAAGACCACATTGAGGGACATCATTTTAAAATTTTAGAACACCGGAGACAAATACAAGATCCTAGAAGATTTCAGAAAGAAAAAATATCTCATATACAAAAAAATTTAAATCAGTATGCACTGAGCTTCTTAACAGCAAAACTGGAAACTAAAAGATAGTGGAGTAAGACTGTCAAAATTCTCAGGAAAAAAGGATTTAAACTAGAATCCTATTCTTCACCAAATTAAGAGTGAAGTCTAATGGGAGAAGAATACATTTTTAGATATGTAGGGACTCGGAAAATCTACCTGTCATGAATCTTAGGAAGCTACTGGAAGATGTGCTCCAACAAGATGAGGTGATAAGAAAGAAACAGTCTGAAGTCCAGGGAGACAAGGGGGGACGTAACACAGCCACGTGGTGAAAGGAAATTTCAAAATGACACCTGTGTAGACGGCCTGGAGAGCAACTGTCCCGACTACAGCACAGGCGTCTGAGGGGCGTGAAAGGTGATGTCTGTGAGACGGAAGCACCAAAGGAAAAACCAGAATTGATAGATTATTTGAGTATTGAGAAAACAATAGTTTTTTCTGATGAAAAAGTTGAACCGGTAAAATAAGCAAATAAAAAAATAAAGTAATGATTAACCCAAGACAAAGTAAAGAGGTATATGAAAGGAAACAAACATAACATTCTGCTTGGATCTGCAGTGAACAATACTTAAATAATCATAATAATGTAAATACTATCAACCGAAATTTACAGTATAATTTTATTGGAAGGACAGAGGGCAAGAAAGTAGGAAATTAAAAAAGAGCTACCATAACAAAAAGTTAATAGATAATGTCCAAGACTGATAATTTAGGGAGTAAAAGCATAAGCATACTGTTAAAAATAGGGAGCTATATATCCAAAGTGACAACTAAGAAAGTTGAAGTGGTTAAGTCTAGAGAGAGAGAGAATTGTTTTTCCATACAAACTTTTAAATTCTATTTGATTTTTAAAAAAAATTACATGCATATGTTATTTTGATTAAAAAATTAATACATAAATAAAAATATAATAATCTTATAAAATATACATTTTAAAAATTTAAAGTCATAACTAGGAAAAATACAAATTACAACAGAAAGACCAGGAGAAAAAGACACAACTGTGTAGGCCATAAAATCCTACACTAAGATGGTACAGATGAGCTCAGAATTTGACTGAGCTTCATGAAGATCAAAATGAAAAGAGAAATATGATTTTTTCATACAATTTTTCTTATCCATAAAGAGAAAACACAACAATTTCCTCGAATAAGCAAAATATCGCCATACTTTGCTCTAAAATAAATTTCTCACATGGAGTTTGACACATTATTATCATCTATAACCAGTACACACCCAAAACAACACCATGGACACGGCATTTCCCAGTGTGCTCAGGCTCTGGCTCTGTAAGAATAAGATCTTCTACAGCTCCCTCCTGAACAGTAAGCAGTGGCGTGTTTAGGATTTCTTTCTGTCAAAAAAGAACCCAAGTTGAAACATAACAGTTAAACAACCACTATAATCTCTCCTGTTTTCATGCCCTATTCTTACCTGCATGTTCTGCTTATAGAGTTTCCTATCAATTTGAGCTCTCAGACCCCAAACAGCTGGTCCCTTACGCCGGTTTAATACTTTGTAATGTACACCAGACTGGTCACAGATTCGACAACACAGGCCATCCAAGGCATCTACTTCCCTCATTAAATGGCCCTTTCCGATGCCGCCAAAGGAAGGATTACAGGACATCTGACCTATAAGAAAAGACATAAACGAAATAAATATATGAGCACCTTGCACATTGTGAGTGTTTAATAGGGACGTGTCTGTACAAGTGACTAGAATCATCTCACATGATAAAAAATAAAAAACTTGAAACACACACTGAAAGGAAAACTCCGAAGTCCCAGTGGGATGCAAGAGTTGCTGAAGGCATTCTGAAGAGAAACCACTGTGTGCAGTTTCTTTTGATCATCTTTTCCTTGATGCATATTTTACTCTTTCATTAGGTTGCCTTTTCCTTCAAAGTGTGGTTTTGAAATCCTTACCTCATAAAACCTTCCTGAATCAAACATACTTTCTGTTTGTCTGTTTTGGGGGAAGACTGGCCCCGAGCCCGTGCCCATCTTCCTCTACTTTCTATGTGGGACGCCTACCACAGCATGGCTTGCCAAGTGGTGCCATGTCCACACCTGGGATCTGAACCAGCGAACCCTGGGCCACCAAGAAGCAGAACGTGAGCACTTAACGGCTGCACCACCCGGCCGGCCCTCAAACATACTTTTAAGAGGTCCCTTTGCACTGATTCACTGCTATAATCAATTACGTCTTCCATAAATGCCATCTGCTGTTTTCTTTTTGCTCATTTTTTGCAGAAACAATTAAATTATAAACTTCCTGAAAGTAGGAACCCAGATTTAATACCGTGTCTTTAAATTCCCCTAATCTTCTTTGGAGATCTAAACTAATGTGGTTACCTCAAAGGTTTTTATGGGAGGTGGAGTGGGAAAGCTGTGTTAACATCTTCAGGTCTACTGCAGCCACCATCGAGCCCTCCACAAGTTTTTATGGTCCCCAGAGGCTGAAGAGTGCTGTGATTAGGAGCATGGCTTAGGAGTGAGTGAAAGAGATCTGGCTTAATTCCTAGATCTACCACTGACAGACCCTGTGATTTCCACAAGTCATCTAATTTTCTGTACCTCAGTTGCTGCACTGTAAAAACAGGGATGATAGCTGTAGTAGATTACTTCCCTCCTTCTTCCTTTCATACAGAATCACAATTTTATTTAGGTAAACACTCTCCCCTGTGAAACTGTGTTTGGGGAGTGTGATCTAAACTGAGTTGAGGGATAAATCTTTATCGACCTAAAGTAGTCACGGTGTTCCTGTTCTTACTTGCCTGTGTCTGGTTTAAGGCGGGGAAATAAGTCATGAGGAAAGATTTTTTTTTTCTTTTTCTCTTTAAAGAGATACAAGGAGAAAAAACTTCTGCTGAAAGTTGTCACACCTGGATGTGACACCTGGAACTACAACAGCCATTTTGCAATCATCAGGACAGCTAGCTTGAAGATGATCCAAGAGCGTCATAATGGAGATATGGAAGGAATCTGAATTCTTGGATGTTGTGGGCTGCTGAATTAACCAACTTTAGAGCTTATCTACTTGCAGACTTCTTGTTAGGTAATAAATTCTCCTTTTTGTTTAAACTCATTGAATAAGGATTTGTTATTTGTAAAATGAGGTAGGGTACATAAAGCTATTAGCACAGTGACTGGCACAAAGTAAGCCTAAGTAACATTTACTAATAAGTATTTTAACTTATTTCCCAGGTCAGTGTAAAATACTCTTTGCTTCTGATCTTCACTTTTTAAAAATCACATAATTTCTTTCAAGTTTTGTTTACATTTTTAATCATAAATAATTTATCACCAACATTTTAACAATTCTTCTAATTATTTTCTCAAAGTTGTAAAATATTACTATTTACATAAGTGTCCTTAAATGGATATCTTAGAAAAGTGCTCCAGGGCCGGCCCTGTGGCCGAGTAGCTAAGTTCGAGCGCTCCACTTTAGCGGCCCAGGGTTTCACCGGTTCGGATCCCAGGCATGGACATGGCACCGCTCATCAAGCCACGCTGAGGCAGCGTCCCACAGAGCAGAACTAGAAGGACCTACAACTAGAATATACAACTACATACTTGGGGGGCTTTGGGGTGAAGAAGGGGGAAAAAAAAGAGAAAGAAGATTGGCAACAGATGTTAGCTCAGGTGCCAATCTTTAAAAAAAAAAAAAGAGAAGTGTTCCAGACACTTTGTATAAAATCCATAAGCATAGTGGATATTTATCCTATCGAGTTTACATGAAAGCAAGCAATCTGCACTCCTGAGTTTCTAATTCAACATATTATTTCACATAAAAATGTTAAGCTATTTTATTAAAGAAACAAAAAATAAGAAATAGAACATTGTAATGAATTCCCAATTATCGAAGCAGGTCCAATCTTATGTCTTTTATACCTCTTCTCACTTCCCTCTTTCCCAGACATCATATCAACTGTAAATATTTCAGCCAAGGACATTTTGTTTAGGAAAAACACACACACAATAACTTAATCATACGTGAAACATTTGAATTATTTGTTAATGAATAAGTAACCAAAATATAAACTAAAATGTGAAATGACATCAGCAACTAGGATTTTTTCCTCTTACTCTGTACTACTCTTAAATACTCCTCTTCCCATCTTTGGAAAGGACACATTTCAGATACTTTTAGATCAGAGGTCATAACCCAGTTGTTTCCCTGCAATGTTTTGCTTGGTACACATAAAAGCTTTCGTTAAAATAAACAAACAAAAAAACTGAATGAGAATGTATTTTCCAGCTCACTACTCATTGTTACTCCATGTTGTTTGACATCCACCTAGCTGCACATGTTTAAATTATGTCTGGCTCCTAGAGCATCTAAAGTGATGTTTTAGATATTGCTACTCATCAAAATAGCTTTAACTCTCATTACATATGCGTTAATTAAAAAAAATTTTTTTTTAAATCTTGAATCCAATTTCTGACCTTTTTCTCAAACTTTCATCCCCAGAAACGAGTGTCCCCATACATATGAGAAAAAAAAAACACCCCAAACCCTAAGAATAAATTACTGAAATTCCACTACTTCCTTATATCTCTAAAGTAAACAACTTCTGGGCGCTTTTCTGAATTGGTGTATATTATATACCTATTTAGAAAATACACATTTGTGGAAGTCAAGTGCCAAGAAATCTTCATCTTTTTAAATTGCTAAAAACTTTTTCTCAACTATATTTATCAATGTTGAGCCCCTTTTCTCACAGGCATAAAAGGTGAACACAGCACTCTCTTTTGCTTCGCCCTCAAAATCTTTCTCAACATAGAACTTCGGGACCCAACATTCATTCCCAGTCATTTGGAGTTGGAATAACGAAGTCTATTGGTCCTCTGCGCTCTTAAGTAGAGCCTACTAACATCCCAAGTGTGGTACTAGTACTTGGGGTGGGCAACAGCAGTAAAAACGTACACTCCATTTCTCACTCTACTAAAGAACTGAAGTCAGCTATGTGAAAGGCTTATGATAAAACAATAGTTAACATCTGACCACTTAATATGGGCAAGCGCTGTTCCAGATGATTTGCATGTATTTTCTGACTTAAACTTTACAGCAACCATATGAGGTCGGTACTATTATTTCTATTTCATAGAGAAAGAAATTGAGGATAAACTGTCCTCTGTCCAAGGTCACACAGCTAGTACACAGTGGAGGTTAGACTAAAGTTCAGAACATCGAACAATCTTTTCAAGAGGGAACTTTCTCCATGAAATGCCTAAGTGATATGACACAGAATAAACAGGATCAGAAAGCTTTTCTCTCTGTCATGAAAGGCAAACGACAGCTTGCCAAAAGGCATTCTTTTCCAGGTTAGTAAAAAAAAAAAAAAGACTTTCTGCCTCCGATTTCAGTACTAGAGGATGATATGACTGAACCACAAGAGGACAATTCTTGCATTCTGTATTCTCACATTCATTCAACCTTCTAAGCCAAAGCAATCTTTCTTTGCTGAAACCAAGTAGAAATACTTGATGCTTCACCATATCAAATTACCTTAGGAACTTTGATTTTAAGATAGAATTGTCATTGAGTAAGCTTATCTATAAAAGTTATTAAAATATCACTGAAAATTCTTAAAAAGAAAACTTACATATTCCTTTGTTGGTAAAAGAATATGAATATAGGTTTTGATGGGAAAAACCTTTATTTCTGACAGAAGTACATTACTTATACTCTTTAATGATCTTAGTTCAAAAATAGTTTTCTGTTCATTATATTTTTTTTATTGAAAGGTAGTACCTGGTCTTTATTTTTTTAAAAATGTAAACGACACTGAAATGTATAAGAAGCAAAGTGTAATCTCTTGGGTAATCATATAGTCGCCCCAAAGAACTGCTGTTTGCACTGTATATTTCTCCACAGTTGAAAGCTGAATGGTAATTTTTAAAAAGTATTTCAGTACACAAGCAGTGACTTATTCACAATTTTTACAGAACAGTTAATATTTCAATAACTTCACTCTTAAGAAAAATGCAGGAGGAAAAACATATGCACGCATAATTTACAAGATAACGTCACTAGCATCTATCATGATGCTACAAAACGGTCTTGCTTTAAATTATGGCATTATTAGAATTATTATAGAATGCAACAAAAAGTAGCATCATTCTTCAAAAGAGCTTCACAAAATCTGATAAAAACACAATGGTCGTTTAATAAACGATTACCGGGCGCCCCATGCCCGGGGACGCGCGCCCGGCGAGAGCCCCAGGGCCTGCGATGCCGCTCGGCCCGGGCGCGGGCAGGGGCGGCGGCGGCGGGGACGCGGCGGCTCGCGCTCCTCACCGATGGCGTCCGCGCGGTGCGTGAGCAGCAGGGTCCGGGAGCCGCACCGGGCGGCAGCGGCGGCTGCCTCGGCCCCGGCATGTCCTCCGCCGACGACGACCACGTCGAAGCGCGGCGTCCCGGGCGCGGCGTTCTCCCCGCTGAGCCGGGCCGACGGAGGGTGCTGTTTGGTGAGGGAAGCCGCGACCCAGCGACCACAGCCTCGGAAGGAGAACATGGCTGGAGAATGGCAGCGTCTGCCTCTGCAGCTGACAGGACGGAGGCCCAATCCTCTGGGCTCGAGAGAGCGTCTTCAGGGCGCCGCCATCTTGCTCTGACGTCACGGCGTAGCACGTCTACGCCCAGCGTCGCCGCTATCGGCGGTTGGGCGCGACTTTTCGGGCAGAGGGCGGTGGCCCGCTGGCAGGGCTCTTTCTGCGGCTCCACCTCGGTCATCTTTTGTCTTCTGGCGAGTTGCAGCCCTGATCGCCAGTTGGCCACCTGCAGGCGATGATTTTGATCACTTTGGCTTAGCAGACTGAATTTCCTGGTACACGATCTCCTTGACTTCTGCTTGTTTATGAAGACTGGAGTCTGGATAGGAATAGATCCGAAAGGAGTTCAAATACCTATATTTGTGGGTGACAGATTCATGATGGCTCACCAGAGGAATCGGGCGGTTGAAGTTATATGTGTCGAAGAAAATAATCCATAACCAATGTATAAATGAAAATTTGGGTGAGTTTATTCCGAGCTTAAATTTTAGGATTATAACCCGGGAGAGTCTTTGCACAAAGGAACAGAGCACTCCAAAGAAGTGGGGGTACATAGGGCGGTTATATACCCTCAAAGAGGGTGTTTCACATATGATTGAAATGTCCCTCCCACAATAGTCACAAGATTGCCCTGTCGGCACAGCGCTTGATGGACACAGCAGGTAGTGTGTCTGCTATCTTGGTGGGCGTAGCAGGAGGCAAGTCTATTGTCTCCAGCTGGGGCGGTCACAGGTGAGCACAGCAATCAGTTTCTAGCCTAAGGAAAGATGCTTAATCCTTAAGGAGACGCCAACGTTGGGAGGGGGAGGGAAGTTGCACCTTTACCTGAAGGGCCTTTGTTCTTGCCATAGGGAAAATCTAAAGCAGATATACAATGCATGCTCAACGGCCCCAGTCAGGCCCTTTTGGAAAGACAAGGTCAGGCCGAATTAGGTTTATATCAAATGGCTTCCTCATATTCTCCAATATATCCTATTCCTTGCCATTTTTATTTGACATTTCCCCCTTTTGATCTCTAATCTTTCGGTAGAAAGCATTGATGATCAAAACATTGTCCTTCAGCGCCAGGGTGGTTGCTGCGTGCCCTGGGTCCATCATGTCCCTCGGTGCTAGGCTTTTATCTCATTATTTGCCTAGTCATCCGCGTTGGGGGGAAATAGTGGACAAGCATGGAAGTATATTTATTAACAGAGGAAGCATTTCATATGTTATGTAATTAATTTAGATTGTTGCACAAACATTGCATATGCGCTTTTCTATGACACCTTGCATTTACATTGTATATGATTATAGAACAAGTACAATAACGATAATAACAGCATTTTTGAAAGGATTAGTCTGAAATGAATTCTTAGTCATGGTCTCTATCAGAAAAGGAAATTTGTCCAGGGTTATAAGATCAACCATCTCAAGCCGTCGAGCAATCATTACTCTAGTTTGTATGCTACTCTTACAACACTGAGTAAAGAAAACAACAATTAGTTTGAATATTATGACCAGTACAAGGATTCCAATAAATAATAGAAATAGGAATTCCAATCCGGATCGCAAAAGGGAACTGATACTGAAAAGGGAGCCAACCAAATAAATCTAAGTGGGTGCAGGATTCACATAAGACATCCATTTGCTTCTTCATGTGCTTTAGCAGAGATGACACATTAGAAGATTCATCACGTACAAAAACACAGCATTCAGTCTGAATAATTGTATATGTACCACCTTGGGATGCAGTAAGAATATCTAAAGCCATTCTGTTTTGAAGGACAGCATTTTGCATTAAAGTTATTTCGGTATTTAATAAGGCTATTCCTGCTTGACTATCATTAAGGGCTCCTTGAGTAAATTTAGTCAGAGCTTCCATATGTAATAACAACATCTTTTAGCCCCAAAGAAGAAGCACATATAGCTGAAAGTATAGCCATACCAGTGGAACACTGAACAAGCCCATCTGGCCTTAAAGATAGGGAGATTGGCAAGAGGTTTTAACTCAGCCTGACTCCTTCCCTGCTTTTAAAGGAAACTCAGGGTGCAGTGTTTTAGCCACCCAGGCAGTAGCCAAGACCAAAGATTTGTTCCACATAACCATTGAGTTCCATTAGGAGTCACTCGATAAATTCCTGGCCTTCAAGACCAGTCTGTTCCAAATTAATCACTTTCTTTAAGTATAATAATATTCCAAACAAATTATAAAATAGGTATACAGTTTAAGCATAACAAATGTTTAAATGGGAAGATATAAGGTTGGGGATACAGGCCTAGTCCGGAGTCTTGGGACAGCTGTCTACAACAGATGTCGTCGTCTTCTCCTCCTGGTTTGGTCCTTTTCGACAGGGCTGCGAACAGTCTTATTTGATGTCTCTTTCAATAAATAAATTCTTCAGGTTACAGTCCAAGATCCTTAAGTTCTGGGAGCTCTGTGAAAGAATCAGCTACCAATCTTTCATTTTACTTTAAGTACCTCAGTAAGACCGTGACAACAATGTAATATATCCCTTAAGGAAAGCTGGTTCATATATTTCTTCATCTCATTGCATAGGCTGTTTTATTATTATTTCAAAATGAGACAGCTGATGTTTACAAAAAGTATAGATCTAACATTAAGGAGCACTAGCACAAGACCTTTTGGCCGTGAGAGAGTAAATGCTTCTGAAAGCTTGCCATTTAAGTTCTAGTTGTGCCATTAGTTTTACCAGTCCTGAGGATTGGGGATGGTAAGCGCAGTGCAATATTGGCCAAACATTACAAACAGATTTGAGTTCCCCAGTCACTATGTAACTCAGTAGGAATTCCCCAAACAGGAATTATTCTCTCTAATAGTAATTTACCTACTGTTAAAGCCGTTGCTCTTCTGCAAGGAAAGGCCTCAAAACAATGTGAGAACATACAGATCATTACAAGATATATTTATCCTTGAGATGGTGGCATTTGGACAAAGTCCAATTGTCATACCTCAAAGGGTCCCTTAGGAAGGGAAAGTGGACTCGTGACTCATGAAGTGGCTTCTCTGGATTATACTTTGGGCATATAGCACAAGTAGTAGAGGCTATATGAGCCACTGGGAGAAAGTTGCCAAAAGTATTAATTTCCCCTTTTGTTGCAACCTACATATATTATTTTTCTTCTTCCGTGGTGATTTCTTAAGCCTGTAGAAGCAAATCTTTTTACTGGATTAACCACCCTTGTTTATCATTTAAGTAAGACCCATTTGTAAACCAAATTAAACAATAGAATGCAGTCGTGGTCTTCTCCCCTTGTGATGTTGGAAGCAACATAGCTGATGCGGGGTCGGTGAGCTGAGAAGTCAAAAGAAAGGTTTTTTTTTTTTTTTTTTTTTTGGACTCTTTCAAGGTCTGGCAGTAGTGCTCTCCCATCTAGAGAATAGCATGGGGACAGGACCTATGGGCAGGAGGAGCTGCTGCTGCAAACATGGGTTGACAGTAGAGCTAAATCTAAGGCATAGGCATGTGAGTCATTTCTTTACAGGACAAAGGAAAGAATATTTAAAAAAGTTAAAATGGTATCAGTGCAGGTGGGGTCTGGCTATTGGGTGGTCCTATAACTTTCAGATAAGAATCAAATCAGATTAAGTGCCAGAAGCCACCACCCTAAATACTATCTTTAGCTAAAGACAAAGGAGGACGTTGGTGGTGGGGAGAGTCAGCTAGATGAGGTCACCAGACAAGCACAATAAACAAGACTTAAGTCCTTGACACCCCCATTAAGAGTTTCTAGAGATAAGGTCTTCCCCCGTTCCTCCTGGTGCAGAGAGGGAAACACCCACAGATGGAGACTTCCTTCACAAATGCAAATGTCTCTTATCAAAGGGCAAGCAATCTCCACTTCTCAGAGTCTCCTCATCTGCAATTTTCAACAGTAACCAGCCTAAAATAATCCTCATCAGTAGCAAGGTTAAAATAGTGAATAATATTTACCTACACAATATAACCTGAGGTTTATTATCATTTACTTGACAGTGCTTCTCATGCAATTTAGCATTCCAAACAAGCCTAACTAGTGTCCCTCCTTCATAGGAAGAGAGAACAAACTTCTTTGAGAAGTTTCAGGGGCCCTCTGAAAATCCCCAGAGAAATTCTCTTCCTTCATCCAAGTCAAAGGAAAGCCTTTATTCAGGACTGGACTATTTGTTTGAGGGAGAAGCTTGTCAAAAATATCAAAAGATTTTTAAACACTTAAACAAGATCAAGAGGTTGCTGATCTTGTCATTGTAAAACAAGGGTCAATGAAACAAGGCTCATAATATTTAATTAAAGTGACAACAGCAAAAAAAAAAAAAACCTTAATAGAGAGACCCCTGTCTTTTTGCACCTAGGAAATTACCTTAACAAAGCATAGATCTTCTGTAAACTTACTCAGAAGGAAAAAATCTTTTATAATCTCTTTATCAAGAGCAGACTAAGAGTTTAAGAAAATTATCCTTTTAAGAGAGAGAGAGCCAAATTCTAATTTTTGTACCAGTTTACTTTTTTTTCATATTAAAACCCATTTACTTAATTAGATTCATTTCAATCTTAGCCAACTTGACCAGGTACAAAACTCTTTTCAGAATTTCTTTCACAAACCTTCTACAACTTTCTTTTTGCCTTCAGAATTTGTCCCATGCCTTCTCTCTTCCCATCTAGTACATTAGGACAAATTTATCTTCCTTAACCAAGCAAACAAAAATATTTCCATTCTTTATACCTTCTTTACTGAAAACTTACATTTTACTTTCCTTGAATACAGAGCTGTTTTCCTTATTAATTTCCAGTAGCTTTAATCACATACATTAGAACTCTTTAACCTTTTAACAGACCATAGTAAACACTAAAAACTAAGCAATTACGAATTGTCTTTTATATCAACATTCTAAACACTTTTCATAATTTCTAGAATCATGCCACTTTACAATAAAACACAAGGCACACTTTCCAATAGACCCAAACACTTTTAGCCTCTTTGCAATAAGAAGCCAAAAGTAGATAAACTTACATTTAATAATTAATGTCTAATATCTTATTTGGAAATTACCTAGGTACTCAACGAATTTTATCCTTCAAATTAACCTAGCAAAACTTCAAAATTTCG